CAAGTCAAAGAACACTGAAATTTTAATATATTCATTATCATAAAGCCTTCCTCTTCTTGCCATCTTCATTAAAGGCAATGTGATAAACTTCCGAGAGGATAACCAAGTTATTTCAAGTTGTGCATTGTAAATCCTCTAGTCTACGTTCCCCAATCCCCAAACGTGGACCAGTACTGGTCTGTGGCCTGTTAGGAACCGGACCACACAGCAGGAGGCAAGCAGAGGGTGAGCTAGCAAAGCTTCATCTGTATTTGAAACTTCATCTGTATTTAAAGCCACTCCCCATTGCTCACATCACTGCATAAGCTCCGCCTCCTGCCAGATCAGTGGCGGCATTAGATTCTCACAGGAGCGTGAACCCTATTATAAACTATGCGTGCAAGGGATCTAGGTTGTGCACTCCTTATGAGAATCTAAGGCCTGTTGATCTGAGGTGGAGCCGAGAGGTTGACTGCACAATAAATGTAATGCACTTGAATCATCCCGAAACCACCCCCTGGTATGTGGAAAAACTGTCTTCCATGAAACCGGTCCCTGGTACCAAAAAGGTTGGGGACCGCTGCTCTATATTTAAAGATAAATAATTTGAAGTAGCAGGTATCAACATTTGAAACAGAAATAGTTTTATAGGTATAACTTTCCTTAAAGGAAAAAGGTTTCATATTCCCAGTTACTGCTACTAACATATTTGAAATCTAAAGTAAGACCTCATATAGGATTCATGCTACAAATTATAGAACAAGCACAGTATCATAGCAACCCAGCAATACCACTACAGTGACACACTGAGGATGCAATCCAATATTCTAATTTAAGAAACTGGCACAGAATATAGGACATGTAGCTTTTTTTGGCAATATCCCTAGAACATTAATAACTAAGAATCTAAAATCAGCTTTTATTTGAAACTTTAGAGAGCAGGCTATTATAAAGTAACAATGGAAACATTTATTAGCAAATGATTCACAGCACTGTGACTAGATATGACTTAGTCAAGGTTCTGTGATTTCATTAAAATTGAAAATGGTGGGAAAAAATTGTAGACATCACATTTTAGGAAATTTGAACACATGTACACTATCAGTTTGATAATGTTCTGATACAAATATATATCATTTTAAGAAAACTCCTCAAATACTAACTAAAACTTTCAAGAGCATAAGTATTTCCATGCTTTAATCAATGATCATTCAACTATAAATCATCCACAACTGCTGTATTATAGGAGGGTTAAAATATACTGTTCAATTTTTATTTCAAAAAAATTAACTGTTATGTCACATCAAAAACCACTTCTGGTGAAGCAAAAAAGAAAAAGGAATGAAGTTGAGCTTGTATGAGTATGTTATACAGACTC